TCTCCCACCTGGAGGATGGCCGCCTGCCAGGAGATCTTCTGGCCATCGGCCTCCTGTGCGCCGCCCTGGTCCTCGGCGTCTGAGCAGCACCGCAGACCTGCGTGTGGTGGGTGAAGAGGCTGCCTGTTAGCCGAGGGCAGTGAGAGGCCCTTTGAAGGTGGGCCTGGGAACCGTGGGATTGTTGCGGGGGGGGGGGGGGGGGGGGGGGGGGGGGGGGGGTGTCTGAAATAAGGGAATAAAACTCAACTTCGCTGGCAACTTCAATAAATCTGGTAACTGGAGGCAAAAAATAGACTCGGAGGGCTGGGTTGGGTCCGGATGAAACGCTAGGGCTCCTTCCCATGCCGGAGTCTGGGGCTGGAAGCCTGCCCCTGGCGTCTTGCCACGCGAGTGCCCCCAGACAGCAACACACCCACTGGAGACGCACGTGAACAAAGCTCTCGCCTCGGGAGCCGCCGCCTGCGGTTTCCTAGTTGAATCCGGCTTCTCCCGGGAGCGCAGGGCGCACACAGGGTTAAGTCAGGTCCCTCCCCCGTCGGAGGGAGGGGCAGGGAAGTGGGGGGAAAGCAGCCCAGTGTCTCCGGCTGGGTACCTTGTAGTTAGTTGTACGTTGGAAACCTGTCGCCGTCACTTTCGAGTTTGGCATCTTCCATGGTCGCCGCAGAGGAACGAGCGCTCCGAGACGACATCGGTGGCCGAAGTCCCCGCGCCACGGCTCCGAGCTGCTACCGCGCGGGTGCGTCTCTGGTCCTAGGTCCGGGGTAACCAGCAGCAGCGAGGCCACAGCTCCGCGCCGGCCGCCGTGCCCACCCAGCCCCGGGACCAGGTTGGCAGTTCTCAACGATGGGCAGGAGGGACCTTGGCGGCGACCCCTAAAACAATACCATGCCCCGGGAGCCCCGCTGCTGCCGCGCCAGCTTCTTTCCTTTCCACCTCCCCGACCCGGTCGGATTCGGATGAGCCCGCGACAAGGAGACGCGGACACCAGGTAAAGGGGCTGCGGTGCCGGGTGCAGTTGCCAGGAACCGCCGGGACTGCCCCTACGCGGGCACCGCGCGGTCTCTCTCTTTGGGGGAGGAGGGATTCTTTTTTTAACCAGCGGGGGTGGGAGGTGGCGTGGGGTAGGGGGCTGGTTAGCGGGTGGATGGAATGTTTCAGTCTCTATCTTTCATCCAGAGAGAAAATAGACAGCTTAACTGGCCCCCGACTCTAGGGAGATCTGTGTTCAGGTCGAATCCACCTCCTCCAAGGAGTTTTCTAGCTGAGCTCGGCGTCAAAACGTAACTGTGCTCGCCTGCTGGGAGCATCATCCTAAATTGGGGGTTCCAGGGCCACTAAACTTGCCGGAATCCAGCCTCTCACTTCCCCAGAATGAATCTGTTAACTTCCAGCAGTAACATCCCCCGACGCCCCCACCTCCGCGCCCGCTCCATCTGTTGTTAATGTCACCAGCCTGATTATCAAGAGCTGGCGCCTAAAGCCACTAGCACGCCCCCTGCCCGCAATCCGGTATCTATTAGTGGCTAAAAAGATGAGGGGATGGGGCGAGGG